AGCGCCCAGCGCAACGCTTCGGTATTGGTGTCTGCCGTGCCGCCGCGCTCTTGTCCGGACACAGCTTCATGTTTCACCCGGGCGCAGATGATTTCGATGAACGCTAGCTGTTCCGGATTGCATTTGCTCGTTCCGCGCAAGTCGCGTAGGAAGGCATCGACTTTCTCACATGTTGCTCGTGCCTCGGCTTCGCACGTGCCCGGCGTGGGAATCTTTCGAACTACAGCTCTGTCCGCTTTTTTCGTGTTTAAAGCTTTGACGGCCCGACGAACTGTGGCTGGATCGTATGCGTGGAATGCATTGTTGCTCTTTGTATTCGTCACATTCTTATTGGTTGTTTTTGCCCATGTTGCTTCCGCTTGCGCCGCTGCTTCCTCGTAGCTTGCCAAAACTTTATCGTGAACTCCTGGACCTCGTTCTGCTTTATGTGCAGTAGCCCTTTTGCCAGTTTGCCGGAATGACGTTTTTAGAGCTGTCGGCAGGCTAGTGGGAGTAACTAGAAGCGGTTCATCAATGCCACTGTCGTCACTGTTTGCTTCCTCTGCACCGCTGGGACGGACACGGTAGACTGATAAGAAGTTGCCGGTGTGCCGTTTTGTTTCTTCGCATGGCAAATGCGTCAACCACATGCGCAGAGCTTGTACCCAAGTTTCTCTTGGCGCTTTCAAGCGGCCCACAAACGGAACATTGGCGCTAGCATTGTTCGCATCGAGGGTCCACGCGCGGAAATAGGTCATAGTCAATCTAGCGTTTACCTCTTCTTGACCCGCTTTCTGCAGGGGTACGGGCGAATTCTCAAAGTGCGGGCAACACGGGCGACGCCGACGTAGCAGATAACAACGGTGTCGGAGCTGTGCTGTTGCCGTTCCATCTTCTAAACATATTCGACCCGGCGTAGTTTGCACAGCCAGGTAATAATGAGTCCCTGGTTGCAGTTGCAACTTCTTGTCGGGATCTGTTTGCTTTTGTATCAATTTGAGACCTGCTGCCGTCAACGAAACGTCCCAGCTACTACGCTCTTCCAATTCCCATTCACGTTGCGTCGTAGGTACACGAGCTATAGTGACTGCACAATTTGTAACGAACTCATACGGCGACAGCCACCACACCTCTGCTGTCTTCGGCCGGTGCCCATAAACTTCTACAATATCAAGCGTCCCTAGGTGTCGGACACCAGACGATTGCCTCCGAGTCCATTTCACGGCGGCGCGTCGCATGGACGACGCCGCATCATCTCCGTTGTGATATTTTGCAACAAAGTCCGCAAAAGCAGCCCCAGGGAAGCTTTCGAAAGTTGCTGTTGCAATGCGTTCGGCTGAGACGACCGTGTCGTCGCGATGATAGGCGCGCAGATTACAACATTCGACCTGTCCTCGCACCACGCCTTTGAGATACGCATCGCTGAGGAATCGGTTTGCATGTCGCTTGCCTAGGTCATCTAGTGGTTTCCGCGCATGCTGCGCATGCAACTGTTCGTGTCCTTTTTGGAATTCTCTGATTTCTCCATGTCCCATCGGCTGGCCCTTGGAGCAGTAATCCGCGCAATAGCCGGTTTGTGCGTCTTGCGCCCGCTGCGCCGCCAATGACATCTGCTGCCGTTCTTCCGCTGTCAATTGGTCGCCGCAAGTTGGACATGAATATGGAAGCCGGTATGGCACCTGCACATCGCAATTTGCACCACGTAGTGCTGCCAACATTGCTGGTGCGCAGCCATTTAACCACTCATGCCCACAGGGTCCATGCAAAGCTCCTAAGCGATTTTTTCGTCCACCGCTTGGCATCCCGTACGTTTTCAACTTGCAAGGACATAATACAGTAGGTTGCGCACAGAGCCATTGCGTGCGAGGAAAATCACTCTTACACAGCCCTGGCCGGTCACTCTTTTGGCAGCCTGCCAATGGGACGCGACCTTGGCTAGTTTCATTGTAAGGATGGTAGTGATGCTGTTTCAGAAGCTGCAGTTGGACGACGTCTTCTGCCATGTAGCGCTTTCGCCAGTCTGCAGCTTCGTTTTGGGCGTTATCGGTTTCAGTAGCACGTTGCAGTTGATATGTCGGAATCGTTGTCATCGTCACATCCAGCTCGTGCGTTGGCCAGGATGCTTCCGCAGCGGCAATGCGGCGTACCATGTCTTCATTCGATTGGCCCACGTAACTTGCATGACACACATGCGCATTATATGCTTCGTATTCTGCGCGCAACGCAGCCAACTTGTCGTGCGAAAGCCGGAAGATTTCCTCTAGTGAAGTATGTTGATGCAAACACTGCACAAGCACTTGCATGTGGCCATGTTCCGCCCCGCTGCTCTTCTGAGCTTCGAGAGATATATATACTGCGTCCACGCGACCGAATATGCCACCGTTTGCTTCTGCGTTGCTGCCGCCAAGATCTTGACACTGCTCCAATCCACTGAAGCGATTGCAATCTGGACAATATGGACACACACGAACGCCGAAGAGATGCTTCAACATCAAATGCGTCAGCACTCGAAACCCATCCACGGCAGCCAGCGGATCCCGCGCTAGAACTTCGCGGCGTTCTGCCCAAGACATCGGTAAAGTGAACTCATGCTCGAAAGGTCCCATGGCAACAGCATCCTGCAAGCCCAAATTCGGGAAAAACATTTCTCCAGCCGGGAAATCTTGCCCTATGGAGGCGGCGCGAACAGGGTCACAGGAGCGAACGCGCGTCATCCGCACAAAAAGCAGCTGATGCGCTTCATCTGGCGTAAATGTCACAAACAACGGCACTCCGTACCGGATACGCATGGCTTGAATCTCGAACCGCATCCTTTTCCGAGCTTCTTGAGTCCCAGGCAAGCCTTGGGCTGTATGCCGCATGTTGTTTAAAAGTTTTCGGGCCATAGGCTTTAGCCCTTGCACATAGCGGAGCTTCGCGACATCACCCTTGACGGGCCGTGGTTGCCCATTGACATCTATGTAGGAACCTTTTAAAGCAAGGAGCAATTGCTGGGCCGCCGCTTCGACATGGCGCCCTGTCGGCTACACCCATTCTTGGGTGTCCTCATCAAAGAATGTGCGGGAATAGGCGTCTGTAGTACGTGAAAGGTTCAGCGCAGATCGAAAAAGCAAATTCCAGGATGTAAAGCCAAAAACCCAGTCACGACTGACTTGGGCTTCGATGCGCCGCGCCATGGCGCGCACCCACGTGTTCAGCTCCACATATGGATCATCTGCGTGTCTTCGTAGCCGTTGTCGCTGGCTCCACTTCGGAACGTCGGGTAAGCCAATGCCGTACGGGAAGACGAAGGGGAAAGCCAACGCAAAATACAGCGGCTGGAACTGGTCCAGAAGTTTGGTCCCAGTATACAACGTCACTTCGGGCAGAGGCTGTGCAGATGCTGGCTCGGCGCGGGCCACAACCTCTTCCAATGCAGACACATGTTGAGCATTCACGTCTTGGCATCCAGCACTTGTTTTTTCCAGGACAACTGCATTGGGTTTCAGCATGTAACCAAATTCTCGTCTCGCCTCTTCGGCCGTCATTTGATCATTCACCGGTGTGGCAGCCTTTTGGCGCAACACCTGATCTAGGCTCCCATCGTTGTCAAGCAACGCAATGATTTCAGCCGGCACGTCATTCTCGGGGAGCATCTCAGCACGCGTTTCTACGACTGCCATATCAAGACCCTGATATGCCGGATGGCTACGCGCAACCATGGCAGCAATCAGCCCTACAACCACCCGGCGACGAACCACGGCCTGGTGTATAATTTGTTGACGTATTGCCTCTTTATCTGTCTTGTCACCGATTTTTATGATGACGGCTACCTTGTCACTTAGTTCCTTACCAACGTGCGGCAGCATATTCACGGAAGCGTTGGTGGCCGGGGTTCCCAGACGCTCAAATTCTGCTAACAGGTCTTCCCAGGGGAGCGGGAATGTCGTGGCATTGCCCTTTGCACACAGACGATGTCGATTCATGAGCGCATCTTGGGCTAGACTGCGATCTTGGAGATACCGCCATTCAATGCTGAAACAAGTTAATGCAGTCATGCAAGGACTTGCGCATAATAATTCCAACATCGTGCATTCTTGTGCATATAGTTCTCTCGGCGGATGCCCCAGGAACAAGTCGTTGCTCAGTGCCTCTAGCGGCTTCATTCTCTGTCGATATATCCTGGTGCGGCAAGACGTGCACATAGGTATTTCACAATGTGTGCACAGCCGATTCGACGGACAACGCTGTATGCATCTTTTATCTTCTGGGCATGCAAGCACGCGCATATTATATGGGGCGCAAGCGATGGTACAGGTCCACTGCGCCAATTCGGATTGCAAACCGGGTTGCATATCAGCAGGCAAGGTCGTCACATAACGTGCGTGATACGTGCTCATCCCCAACAAAGCTTCGAGCATCTCAGGAACATGATCGAAGAACAGTCCAGTGCGTGGCTCGTATGCTCGTAGCCATGAAATTTGTTGGTTCGTAAGACCGTCCACGAATGGGAACCGACGCGCGCGCACGAAGCAGATCGCGGTACCGACCTGGTGACCCAGCATGTTGGAACGGAATCTCCGCAAACAGCGTCGGTCAATAGAACAAGTCGCACGGGGACCAGACTGTTGGCAACGCTGCGTCAGCAGGTCCTGATATGCCTGGAATGTCGCTTGCGCGGGGCCAACCTGTGATGACCACCGCAATGCCAAGTCATGTAACGCAGTCGCATGATGCTGAGCAACGTGTTCTGCGAGCGCCGCTTGGGTTGCACACTCGAACCCACAGCCTCGAAATGCGCAATGGTAATCCGGCAGGTCATATGCCATCTCAGGGTCAGTTGCGGCATGCAGGCGTTCCGGCAATGTAGGCCTGTCTGAAAGAAGAGCTGTTGCATCTTGCATTGCAAAATCATACGCTGCCCGAGGGTCTTTGTTTCCTTGCGACGGCTTCCAGAGCCGCAAAGGATAGATATCTTCTGCGTCAGTGCTCGCACCCTGAAGCGAACCAGTTCTGGATGTTGGTGCTGTTGTTGATCCGACCGGCGGTGCTTTGTGGCGCACACGGCGAGGAGGCACGTTCATCTCTGTTTTGCGCGCTGGACTTGCACTTGCATCTTGCTGCGTTGCCTGCCGTTGTACCGTAATGCTCAGATTCACTTCACTGGTACTAGTTGGTACTTGTCTCTCGGCTGATGTGCTGTGCAAAGAGTACGTAGCAGCTGCATCTGTTGCAACCGTCTTGTGACCTACATTTTCCTTTTGAGCTGTCTCCATTGAACCATCTGACAATCGTTTCCCAGCACCTTGCGTCTGTGTAGTATAGAAACCGCGCCACTGATTTGCTAATCTACGCGCGTGATGCATGCCTGCATCTGCAAAAGTCAACCCTGCCTGCAGAAGGGTGTGCAAAATTATTCCCAGCGCATCTAAGTTCCACCAAGCATCACTCACTCGATGCGCGTCTGTCTCGTCAACTTGCACATCTGCGCCTCTGTGGTCACAGAACCGCTGTAAGATTTCACGCACTTGCTCAATCTGCGGTGCGCGCAAATCGGTCGCTGCAGCCGCAGCCATTGTTCCAAACGAATTTGTCGGCGGCGCGACAGTGCACGTTGCATTCATGTCATTTTGTTTGCTACCTTGAGCTGCTGTCTGCGAGGCGCCACTTGTGAACACAGGCCGTTCTGCTGGGTTAGCAGGCAACAAGGCGGCGTAACGGCCGTTTTTGTAGCGATAGAGGCGGAAGACTGGCACCAGCAAGCTGTCAAGTCGACCGATGGTGTAAACATCGCGCGGTACACTGAGGTCAGTGGTAGTTGAATCGTACACATGTACCTCAGCACTCACCTCACCTCGGCTCCCACTTGTGAAAAAAAAAACTGCCTTCGCGAGATGATGCTGTAAATCGAAGGCTTCGTTGCCCTCTAGTTGCTTCGGTTCTAAACTTGCCTGGCATGTTCTACATAGGTGAAAGCGTGCATCCTGACGCGCAAGCAAATCTGGATACTGTAACATATATCCGTGAAAAATCAAATTTGCCAGCAGTGCATCAAGCCAGGATGTTGCGAAAGTCGTGTCATGTAAGTACCACGCCATCTTTGCAAATACGGTTTCTGCTCTTTGATCTGCTTGCTGTTCTAGTCCCTCCTTGCTGCAACTCGGCTTCTCAGGTGTGCCACCGCTTCTCTGCGGCTCTCGCTGCAAATCATTGAGTTGCGATCCTGTCGGAACGGACTCTGCTTCTATCTTCATTGCGTTGGTGGACGCTACGGTACGGCTTCTCTTTTTCTTTGGTTCGGCGTCACGCCCAGTGATCGGGAGCAAGCTATCAAAATGATACCCTCTACCCCGAACAGAAGTGTGGTTATAAATGTGTAGCTGCAAAACAGTCTGTTGTGGGTACCCATGGCCAAGGTTCACTGCAATTTTATTCCAGTCTGCACCTGCAGCGTGCTCACCAAATCTGTCATGCACGTGAATTAGCATATTCGAGCGCGCAACAACGCGAAACCAATGAAGCAAAAAGTCTACAATTCTGGGGCCATCCCGATGCGCATCCAGGAACGGGAAAAGCCCATTGCTGCCTGGAGCCACTTCGTCCCCAATCTCTTGAATCAAATGCTTTCTGCATGCAGCTGCAACGCGTCGCCTTGCCGTGACATCTGTTGTTAAGTTATTGGGCAAAATGTGTTCATACGACAGGCACAACATCAGGGAATCGATCAAGCAGTTATTCACGCCGTGTGACACCGCTTTCCGCCAAATGAACCCTTCAGACGCCAAAGCCTGCAATGCATGAATGTCGGTCTTGCTTTGGTAAGGGGCATTCTGCTGGGCAATGTCGCACAGTCGCTCCGCGATTGCAACACAACAGCGCTCTGTCGCACATTGGCGCAATTCTTTCCAGCCGTCCCAAGTTGGAACCCAACTCTGTCCGAGCACCTTTACTGCATCATCCGGTGTGTCAACTCGAGACAGTACGATTGCTTCTACCAGCTGCCGCGCGTCGTCCCAAGGAAGCTCTACGCCTGCTGCTTCCTGTGGCTGCACCTTCAGGCCTTGCTCGTCATAGTTTCCCATTCCTCTTGGACGGTTGATTCCTCCCGTGCACAATGTCAGCATTAAGTCGTTAAATGCTTCCTCATTCGTATGTAGCAACCTTTGGTTCTGAAAGGTTTTACTGAGCCATCTTACTGCAAAAGTGTCCTTTACCTCCGCCAATAAACCATCGTCAGTCGCATGGCAAAGTGCACAGTGGAAGTGCCCGACTTCCCAAGATCCGTGGCTATCGCACGCTCCGCGACCACAGGTGTAGCAGTGCGACACATACTCATCACTCAATTGTTTTGGGACATATGCTCTTTTATATGCTAAACACATGAAACACTGCAATTGTTCTGCGCCGCCTCCTTGAAATTGTACAGGCCGCGCCCCGCGCATATCAAGTGCATACTGTCTTGAGCATCTTGCATGTTCGAGCTCAATGGACGGCTTTCTCGTGTGTGTTGGTTGCACAGCTTTCCATGACTGCATAGCTTCTACAGATGGCGTTATGCCGTCGTCAAAACACAACTTACAAAAGAACTTTGCGCCTTCCCAGCTTCCACATTGATTACAATTAATGCGCTTGCAGCTTGAGCACTTTGCCGAATACGTTGTTTGAAGCGCAAATGGCACATAGTCAGGTGCATTACGCAAACATAAAATACAAACTGGCAAGCTTGCAGAATTTAAATCACCTGCTTGGAAAGCTGGAGCCAGCCCTCCGCCAACAAACCGATGTCCCTTATACAATCTGGGTTGGCAGGATGCAGTTTCATTGCAATTGTCTTCCGTTATTCTTTTGGATGCTGGAACATCGACTCTAGCATCACAGTTTTTACTTGATGGAGCACCCAATTTTGTCGGCGGCCTCAAGAATCTACATCTGAGACTTGTGTTGTATTTTGTTGGCTTTTGTTTCTTATCCGCCGACCCCGCTGTCTGAGGAAGCGCGCGGGTGTCTTCATTTATTGTGCTTATCGTTGATTCTTGCCGACTGAGTGTGTCTGCGGTTTGAAAGGGGTATTGCTTTGGCATGAACAATTGATGTATATGTTGAGTCCCTCCATGGAAATTTTCCACCGACCCCAGCGCCTGGGGAAGCGCAAGAGGATTGTACTGTAGAAATGAAGAAGTGCAGGGGGCACCTCTAAATCGACCTGTCTTATAGACCTTGAATCTCCAAACCGCGTTTCGGCCTCGCATTAAACATTTCCTGCTCGTCATTGACGTTGCTTTCTTGGGGCTACTTTTGTTGCCATAAACAAGATTGCTTTTAGCATTGTTGCGGCCACATCCGACCTTGAACTTTTCCTTGCCTTCCTCTCTTGTTTTGTTTCCGTTCGCGTTAGGTGTGTTGAAAAATATTGTTTGTTTACTGCTCTCTTCCTTTCTCTTACTTCCAGAACGTGCATTCTGCAAGTGTCGGTGTGTTGCCCTTCCACCTAATAAATTTGTTGGATGCTCAGAGACTATTGAAGGCAAAAATCGGTTTGTATGATGCCGCTGCAGGTTCCTGTGCACATGACGCTTGGAGCTGCTCCTCATGCTTGTACCATCGGACACTAGACTCCGCGGGTCCTGGCTGACGACCGTACACTCGCCCCGGTCCTGGCAGCTGATCAGTCTACACTCTGCCGAAGACAATTCCTTGACGCGCTCTAGTGTGCAGTGGTCATTGTGTAGTTTCATGGACGGTTCCGGCACGGGCACGCAATTATGATTGTCCTTTGCACCTGCAGCACCAGACACACAGCACACTGAACTAGAATAAAATGATGAAGACAAGCAATAACAATCAACAAATGAGTCCAAATCGAAGGGACTTGATAAAGAAGAACAATTCAAACAGCAGCAACAGCAACAGCAACAACCATTGCGACAAGAGTCGGCTTTAACGTTTTTATCTTTATTGGTTCGGTTTGAGATCTTGTGGCGCCTGCGCTTCAGTTGACCAATGCGTCGCTGTCCTACCCTACGGCATGGGAGTGCTACTTTCTTCAACGTTGTTAATCTTGCATCGAGGAAGTTACTCACACTTGGTGACAAGGAGTGGGGTAAAACCAATTTTCTGTTAGGTACTACAGCGGAAAATCCATTTAGCTCAGTCATTACGTTATAGTTACACATGCACTCACTTACATATATCGCCAAACCAGCAGCTGTGCGACACAAACCTTTTACTGACAAGAGTGCTACACCCAACAAATCCGCCATCTGTGGCTCAAACATGCACAGAATGTCTGAAACACTGTGCGCAGAAGTGTGGGGCAAAAGCGGCAGGCACCACTCTTGCCAGCGGGTCAACAACCTATTGCCTGAAACATTAGTCGCAAGACAAGCTTTAGCATATTTTATCCTACGACAATTGTAACACCTTTGCAATGTGCGCACATTCTGCTTGAGATGCGTAGCATACGTCCAGGAATTGTCTTCGGCAGGGTTTAGACTGGTCATCTGCCAGGACCGGGCCGAGTTTAAGGTCATCAGCCAGGACCCGCGGTGTTTATTGTCCACCGGTACGACAAGAGGGGACGGCCCCCCAGTCCATGTGCAACTGGACCTGCAATGGCATCACATCTGTTTGCTTGCTTTCTTTACATGTTGTAACTCTGATCTTAAGGATCTTGGAAGACAATTTTCTGTTAATACTTTCTTTTGACTTTTCCAGTATGCTTCCACTGCACAAGGATTGCCAAGCCTCTGTCCTTGTTGCCGCTGCTCGTGGTGTTGAAACACCATTCAAACCTGTTGGAAAATGCAATGACGTCATGTAGATTTTCCGGAGACATTGCATTTTTTACATTTTCTTCCATAGGTCCCGGCCTTGGAGAATGCAAGCGACACTCCGGCTTCAAAAGCCACTATAGTTGACTTTGCTCTTGAGCAGCGAAGCTGCATGAGAATTACTTCATCCCGTGTTTCTGTAATTGAGGCACTGCTGGCCTCTGCACTGTACTTCACTGTTTGGATACACGTGTTTGGTGATTTCGATCGATTTTCCCTGGTTTAATCTTCGTCCAAATCAAATATTATGCCCTGTGACCTTTCCATCCTGACGTTCAATAACTCGTTTCAAACTGGGCAAGCCCTTGCTGGCAAGAACAGCCAATTAGCATACAAAAAAGTGCACAAACTATTTTTTTCTTTCTGTTGTGTCATTGTTACTAAAGAAACCTGAAAAATATGGCAACGGAGTTTCATCTATATTAGCATCCATCAGCATTGTCAACAACATACATCATCTTCATCGTCAGCACTGGGTTTTGGCGCCCCACCGCTGGCTGTTTTACATTTCTTGCTTTTCTTTCTTTCGTGTTACTTTTATCGTTCTTCGGGTTCTGGGGTTGTCCCGTCCCCATCACAACATTCTGAACAACGCTCGGAAATTTCTCCGCTCTCCTGCAGTGGTGGCAAGCAGATCCAGACCACTGATCAAAACACCACCGAAGTCATAGCAAATTGTGTCAAACAACAAAGAAGGTACAATGATAGGATGAAGATGCCATCCAAAGTTCCGACCAACATAAATTCTAGGAACATCACGCATACCAACAGGGGATCTTTCCAAAGAAATGCAACTTGAAGACTTAAACACATCTGGCGTCCCAACAGAATACCCAGATTCCAAATTCTCAAACTTCAACAAAGTGAAGCCGGATGTCCGAATGACTCAAATGAGGCACTCTGCAACAGGATAACCTCTTGTAATCAAACATGGCAAAGGAAAATCTCTTATGAATGTTAATTACATTTATGAATATTTCAACTTCCTCAACATACATCAACTACAAAATGAATTCAAATACAAAAAGGGGGGCCCAACCCCTCATGTTTGTACAAAAAAAAACTGGCTGGCAATCTGTACTGTAGCCCAAGTTCTCCCGATTTCGTAGCTGAAATTTGAAGAAAGATGCTTGTACTCTATCCTTCTCTTATGTCTTTTGCATCTGTGTGTGTTATTTTTCTTTAACATTAGCTTCATCAACCAAAACTACCGGATCATGTATTGTGATGTATTGCTTCCATGACCACAATCTTCAAGCGTGGGAGTGGCTCTAGCTCACTGGGCTCGAAGGCGAAGCAATTTGTTTGCTCTGCAGCTGGAGGGTTTGCGTGCAAACGTCATGCCAAGAGGATGATTTGAAAGGGATATCGGAACCAAGTGCGAAAGAAGCTTTGCCTGTGACAAAACAACCTTCCAAACCGGCTCTTGTGAGTGCAATTCGTGCCAAACATTTTGACAGACAGCACTTGCAGTGGCTAGAGGCATTGTGATATTGTGCAGCACAGGGGTGCATCTGAATTTCTGAGACTTGGTGTCACGATGTGTAAGTCTTCAGAAGTTGTAACTTCGAAACGATATGCACAACTTTCAACAGGGAACTATCGCAATCAGGGCGGCATCAGAAGCTGTGGGGGCATCACGCTGGCTTCCTGGCAGCAGAAGCAGCACTATTGCTATGATGCATAGGATATGGATGATTTTTATCAAACAATTACGTGTAGTAATAGTGGATGATTAGAAATTGCTAGAAAGCCATTTGCAATTGTTGAGTCCATAGCCTAATTCCTTGCCTCGCTCAACATAACGTGGATCCATCGGAGAGTTCTCCGCCTTAGTTCTCCACACAGTGACGAAGGTGGATGTGCATGACCAAATGTTGGGAACTCCAAAATCCTATAGTTTATATCTATATCTATATATATATATATATATATTCATGGTTATCAATGTCTATCAGAATTTATATATATTATTTTTTATCATCGCAACCATTGGAATGACAATATATATTTATATTTAGTCAATATTATACATATATATATTTTTTAATATATAGTACAATATAATTATTGGGATTTGTTGGGGTGTGCTCTTTGTTTTGCAAAAAAGATAAGAAACGAAAATCAAGGGTAACAAATTATCGGAGGTAAACTGAGGCCATTGCACACTCTGGCATATCATGGCATATCGCACATAGATGCATATTGAAAATAGCATTGGCCCTATAGCTCCCATGAGCTAGAGTCAAGAGTTATATTAATCTTATATCACCCAAAATCAAATAGTTGGAGTTTCATGTAATCTTATATATATATAGTTAACTATAATCAACCCCTGGGTTCCGTCCATGTTTCAACAAATCCCTTAGCCCAAGTCGCCCGACATCCTCTCTGGGAGCCGCGGGCGAGGAGCTGGTGGATTTGTAGTCCACCGGCAAACATTGATCTGCCGGGGAGGCGCTGCGGAGCAACTTGCTGTCCACGTAGAAGTTCTGGACCCAGTCCTGAACGTGTTTCGCCCAATTCTCAATATGATGGGATGTTTTGTTGGGTTTTGTTGGGGATATGGGGATGTTACCAAAAGAAGGGGGTATAACAATGACTCATTAAATATGTTGAGGATACAGATCATCATGTCATCATCATGTAGGGCCATAAAGCACCCAACTTCTGATGGTTTTACAACCCATAAGAACGGCATTTTCTTGGGGATGGTGGATCCTCTTGCTCTACTACTGTATACGGGTTATTAACACAGAAAACCCCAACCGACAGCGCCAATTGACAGAACCCGGCTCGGGCGATAGAAAAGGGAAAGGGAAGGAATAAAACTCACCGACACCAATAGAGATCGCAAAAAGTGTGCATATATATATATGTATATATATATATATGTATATATATATGTATATATATATATATGTATATATATATGTAAATATATATGTGTGTGATTTTGTTTATATATACATATATTATATCTGATAATTAAGCATAGCTGTCTATATATCTGATATCCAATTATATTTAAAAAAAACGATATGTATTTCTTTCGAATTGTATGTATATATATATATGTTATGTAAATATACATATATATGTGTACATATATGTCTGTATATATGTATGTATGTATGTATGTATGTAAGTATGTATGTATGTATGTATGTGTGTATGTATGTATGTATGTATGTATGTATGAATGTATGTATGTATGTATGTATCTATGTATGTATCTATGTATCTATGTATCTATGTATGTATCTATGTATGTATCTATGTATGTATGTATGTATGTATGTAATGTATGTATGTATGTATGTATGTATGTATCTATGTATGTATGTATGTATGTATGTATGTATATGTCTATACATACGTATATATATATATATATATGCTTATATAATCATATACATGCATATTTATATATACACATACTTAGATTTGTATATGTGTATATATATATATATACATAAGTTGTATATATGTTAGATTACTGTGCGCAATTAATGTTTGCTGCTTAATCGCCTCTTGTCACTAGTTTTAGAATTGAGGCGCAGAAACTCCTGAACTGCACGGCTGATCTCGTTGTGCAAACGATCGCACTCGACGGCCTGCAGTTGGGATTTCATATTCCTCTGGTCAAGTTATAGTACATGCTATACGATGCTATACGGTTTATTGTCATCCCGCAACTCAAAATGCTAAACCTTTTTGCTGTTTTAAACGTAGACCCTTGCAGGAGACCCCACAAAAGGGGTCCTGGAAGTTCATCTCTATTTTGGCGCCCATCCGTTTTGAGATAGGTGTTCCTCGTTTACTTGCCCCCCAACCGAACAAACATGGAACCACCGGAATGATTTGCCAAATGAAAAACATCGCTAGACAAATATCTATTTGTTTATCTGTTGTTTTATAATAATGCTGCATGTTCATTATTAAAGCGGGTGTAGATAAATCCCTGTGCTCATGTGTATTGATGAATTGCTCACCGCCTTCCAGTTACCCTCTGGTAATTTAACAGTTGGCTATGGTTTATGGTCTGGGATGTCATCAGTTATTGTATGGACTTAATCTTCAACAATAGGGATGATAATGGATTGCAATAGGGAGACTGAGGATTATTCAACATGATATGGAAATATGCGCGATTAATATGGATTAATGGTGTATGGTAATGATGGTCCGGATTTAATGGGATCTCATGGGACATTTCTTGATGTTTTTCTCGTCTTCGGATCCAGTTCTTGGAATCGAATAGATCCGTTAGGGATTCGGATCCATGGCGTGTATCCAAATGCCGGGATTTAACAATTCACCCAATTTTACCTCCAACATGTTAATCAAAATTAAGTAATCAAAATGGTGATTTAACGATCGAGTCCTGTGAAAAGAACTATTATAATTAAACAAAACACAAAAACAAATTTAGGGTTGGTGAATCATGTTTAAAAAAACTTACAATGCTGATATTAAGCATCAAGATACGGGATGTATAACCATCCAAAAATGTGGATTGAACTTTGGTTGAAAGGCAGTGACTCCGGAAACCTGTTTTTTTTTTGGTACTCTCTGGTGATCAAATCTGATCAAAAGTGGCAATGGAAAAACACTATTTATTGAATTTATAGATGCTTTTCCCGCTTAAATGTGAATGTATAGTGGATTTCTTATTGCCACGTTTGGTTACCGGATGGTACATTTTCTGTGACTTTCCCTTCAAGTGACGTTACCAGGCAATTTCCCTCCGAGTCTCTGAAGTTGCTCAGCTCGAGGTAGGCTTGAGCTCTGCGGAAATAGGCCTGGAGCGACGTTTGGAAGATCGCATGGCCAACAGAAGAAATCATGTTGGTATCAGGGTATAACCAAGAAATCACATGTATCTGAAAATGGGTTACCCTCCGGTAATTTAACAGTTTGCTATTGAAAATGGCCCAGTCGAAATAGTGGATTGACCCATTCAAAAATGGTGATTTTCCATAGTTATATAAACGTTTACCAGAGGGTATACTGCAGATTCAGTGAGAATTCCCCAAGTTTTCTGATGAAAAATGGTGATTTTCCCATCAGTTTTTTGTATGTTTACCAGAGGCTAAGTATCTATACTGTCTCTCAACATCCATAGTCACCATAGTCAGACTTGATTTCCCCAGTTCGAAACTCCAAATTTTGACCATTGTTTTTCCTATATCATGTTATATCCCCGTGAGAAAAACCCACGAAAATCCTCCGCATGAACTTTGGGAAACTCCTGGAGGATCAACCCACAGGCCTTTTTTTGTAACCAGGTTGTCCCAGTTACATGGGGGAGAAGTATGGATAGCCTCTGGTAAACAAAAAACGATGGAAAATCACCATTATGAATGGCTAAATCAACTATAAATGGCCATTTTCAATAGCAAACTGTTAAATTACCAGAGGATAAGCCCACTGAGGGTCATGTTGAAATCAAAACCAATGTATAGAATTCTTGGACTTAGAATCAAGGCCATCCAAAATCATGGATTTCGGAAACAAAGTCGAAGCGTCCCTTGAAGTCCTCACTGGGACGAGAATTTCCAGCGCTGCCCAATTTTTTAAGAGTAATGGAATGCTCAAGTATGGAGACATTTGGTTTGACATATGGTGCCCCAAAGCATCAAAAATTGCTGGTGTATGGCTGGATGTTCATCCCCTGACATAGATGCTAAAAGGAACTCTTAATACTTCCAATCTCCCGAACCATTTAGGAATGCAAATCATCATAGCGCTGAACGGGATGGTCCCCTTCTTTCGTTATTTGAACTTGGGTCCGCGCGCGCGCGTTTTACCTCCGTATTCGACTCCTCCGAGCGCGCGCGCGCGGACCCATAACATACGATGATACTTTGAATTGTTCCCAATTCTACGAACCCAATATGTTGCATATCGTTTTTGCATAGCCAAATTTCATGAAAGTTGCAGCACCCCCCCAGCACCCCCCCAGCACCCCTCCAAGCACTCTGCGGTGCCTTTGGATTCTGACCCAGTTCTAAAGCTTGATTGCAGGCGTCGACACACTTCTGGTGCTCACCCAGCTTCAAGTAGCAGGCCTGTCGCCGTGCTGGAGATGACTGGAAATGTGGTGCCCAAAAAAAACCAACACCGTGATGTTTCTTGGTTCACAAGCCCCATTATAGATCAATCAGAAAACCCAACTTAGCTACAATGTCAGGCCCCCAAGATAGCTAAGTTGGTGCAAATAACTCCAATTTCACTATGGTCAGACTATGGTTTATGATACTTCTAACGAACTAGTTGCTGGCGCGAATCTAAACCGACAAACATCACTGGGGGGCGTCACATTGTTATAGGCTTTTCACCACGGCAAAGTTTGGATTGTGAAAATCCGTCGGATACTGCTTGATCATCCCATTTCAGGGCAGAGTTACCCGGCCTGGTAAACGTTTACAGTTTGCGAACTGGAAAATGGCCATTTATAGTTGATTTACCCATTAAAAATGGTGATTTTCCATAGTTATGTAAACGTTTATCAGAGGATAAATATCTTTGAGACTACCAACCCGATCATTATCATGTACGGGCTCTGAATGGCTCTGCGCGTACGGATGCTGGTCATTGGTAGCTATGACTCATGCCCCAATATGCCCCAGTTATCCCAGCATTGGTTGGAAGGCAAATTTAAATAACCATATGAAGTTGGTTATATACTGTAGACTGTCAAAATCCCAATGAAGCTTGGTAAATCCCTTTTATTCCCCAAAATAATAAAATAGAGATACTATATGATACTAACCCAGTGAAACACAAGCTATCAATAGCTATCATACATCAACTTTAACATATGTCCGATTCAATCTCCAATGTCGGCGAAATCACCGTTCTTCCAAGGGGCTGCCATGTTCAACCTCGTTGTCTCCTTCAGACGCCGCACCTGGGACGTCATTGCACGATGTTGCACGGACGTACCCAAGATACCTCCATGGCAAAAGATTCAGTTGGGATTATTATTCCCAATATATTATATATATGGAAGAATAAAAAATGTTCCAAACCACCAACCAGTGATTCAAAGTGTGCATCAAAAAGGTTGATCTTGACCCTTCAACAAAGCTCAATATTTCCATCAAAAACCATTTACTGAAACTCAAACAGTTTCTTTAGCATGTCCAGAATCTAAGGAAAAAAACACGCAGCACCTCAATTTCAATCACTGTCGAAACCTGCCAAAGGGATCATGCCAAAAACATGATTTCTTCGGGTGTCCAAGAGATTCCCAGTCAAAATCAGCGTTGTCAAAATCCGCCCACGTCATCCCTTCATACTGGTTCAAAGGAGTTTCCAGTTCATGGATTGCGAGTTTCCCCATTTTTTCATCATCAATCATCGGTCCAAAGGTTCGCACAGCAGGCAGTCGCCGTATGCAGGCACAGGTTGATCCACCGCATAACTTCCGACTCAAGATCTTTATATATATATACAGCACTACAACGGCTGACATACCCGACCGCATACTTGAAGTGGCACCGCAAAGTCAAAAGCTAAACAATCAGTCTCCAAGTCATCAATGACACGCTCATATCCCTAGTGTATCTAAGATGATTACTGAGTTTACGTAATCGATTGCGAGTGATTTTAATGTATTACATCATCACCTCGATGTATCTGATTTGGTCGTCTGAAAATGACGTATATCACAGTACACCCCACAAGATGATGTGTATGTATATATATATATAACGTTATACATTATATGTTTCACTAGCGAAGATCCTGATAACGTGCCCCAGCTTCGTTCTCCAATGCGTCAAGGTTGACTTGGGACCAAGCTCCACGGCTGAATTGTTCCAGGACCACTGGACACCGATTTGGGCTTCGGTGCAGACACCCGTGTCCTACTTCTACTGTACTGTACAATTCGGTAGTCTCACAGGGGCCGCTGTGAAAAGTGTTCTATACTTCGACACTGCCTGGCAACCATCGAGGTTCATTTGATTGGGCAATTGTTCCACAATCCTTATATTACTGTGAGTCATCCACAATGGGAATCAGCAATGCCACCAATACTGCCAGGCAGTTGCCATACACAGGCGGAGGTTGCTCGACTGCATACCTTCCAACTCAAGATCTATTTGTACACTACTGCAAGTCAAAAGCTACACAATCAGTCTACAAGTCGTCCATGACACGCTCATATCTCTGTGTATCTAACATGATTACTGAGTTTACGTAATCAATTTCGAGTGATTTTAATGTATTACATCATCACCTCGATGTATCTGATTTGGTCGTCTGAAAATGACGTATATCACAGTACACCCCACAAGATGATGTGTATATATATATATATAACGTTATACATTATATGTTTCACTAGCGAAGATCCTGATAACGTGCCCCAGCTTCGTTCTCCAATGCGTCAAGGTTGACTTGGGACCAAGCTCCACGGCTGAATTGTTCCAGGACCACTGGACACCGATTTGAGCTTCAGTGCAGACACCTGTGTCCTACTTCTACTGTACTGTACAATTCGGTAGTCTCACAGGGGCTGCTGTGAAAAGTGTTCTATACTTCGACACTGCCTGGCAACCATCGAGGTTCGTTTGATTGGGCAATTGTTCCACAATCCTTATATTACTGTGAGTCATCCACAATGGGAATCAGCAATGCCACCAATACTGCCAGGCAGTTGCCATACGCAGGCGCAGGTTGCTCGACTGCATACCTTCCAACTCAAGATCTATTTGTGCCTCTCAACGGCCGATGGTTTCTGAAGCACTTGGCCTCACAAAAAGACGATAAGGTCCGGGACATCAAAGTCCTCAAGCATCTCCTGCGCAACCAAACTGTTGATTCGCGTAACCTGTAGTAGTTCCTGTCCCATCCTCTGCCCTTTTATCCCCGTGTGAACCACTGGCAGAACCACCGACTAATGCACGATTTTCGACTGTTGATGATAGCACCATCTTGCAACGGCAGTAAAAAAGGAAAAAGAAGCAGATGTTTGCATCATTCTGCCAATCATGCATATCTATATCCACCTGTGGATAACTCTACCCTCCCAGATCCTCTCCTGCGTCATCTGCTCCGTCAGCTGCAGCCGTTGCGTCTGCCTGTGACTTCCTCAAGCCATCAGCCGACCACCCCTGGGCGTCCTTCACAAGGTTCAGCGCTTCCATGCTGAATTTCGCCCCTTGGTGACGAAAAACAAACAGATAACTCCCTTCGACCCTGGTCTAGTTAAACCATCACCACAAATAATTGCAAGCTAGTCACGTTGACGTTCAGATCCTGATCGACCACGCAATTCTAGCAATGCCATGCATACGTCAGCCGCCCTCTTGCCACTCATCAAGCCGTTGCGTTGTTCAGTTTTGGCTTGCTTCAGTTCAGCATCAGCTTGGGCTTTTGCCTGATGCTGCGCTTGTGACAGTACACGACATTCGCCACGTGCCCCCAGCACTTGCTGAACACGATCCAATCCACCAACATCCTCATGAACGACAACCTCAGGCACTCGCAGGGTGGCACTTACAACCCAGGGTTTCAAAACAAAACCCAAGGTTTTTCTATTTCCACAAATTTCAAGACCATGCCCCCAAATGCTTTGATTTTATTAATGCGGTGGGTCCTCAAAAAGTGTTGCATTTCTGTCCAGTCTACTGGTCATGGATGCCCAAACACAAGCCCAAATACAACAAAAACGTATTATATGTTCACCAGTTCCAAGGGGGTCCAACCCCTGTTTTATATCATGTGTGCACACGGGTAAATCACGGGTTGAATATGGATTGAACACGGGTTAGAGAAAACCTGGTTATTTTCAAAATACACGAGGTTTAGCCTACAAACCCTGTGTATTCCTCAAGAAAACACGGGTTGACACGGGTCAATCACGGGTTGAACGCGGTTTGCTAGAGGGTTGAATTCCCGACCCGTACTTTTCCATGTTGGGGTTGCGTTGTTCTCTACTTCAAATGTATATGTAGATGTGGCTTCCTGACGGTAAGGCTGAATAGATGAAAATCTAAGAAACATATGACGAAATAAAGCAGGAGAAGCGTCGGAAGCAAGCACCACATCGAATTTGGACAGTTTGTAAGAAAACCCTGGTTTTTTGTGACAAACCCACGGTTTTTAGCGTGATCACAGCTAATCCCAGGGTTTTAATTTGCACCCGACAAATTTGTAGGATTTGGAAGCTAAGGGTATATATACATTTCTCTTGTCTATCTACCTATCTATCCATATCTATATACCTATCTATCCATATCTATATATTTGCCACACTCCACCACGTCCCCCGCGCAACCCAAGAACATGCAGAAATGCCCCCTGTTGCATGGGGCACACTTTCCTCACGTGCCGAAGGTCCGGCCCCAGAAGCTCTTTGACAAACTCAAAAGCCAATGGTCGGGACTTCAGAGTCATGGGGGGACGAAACTCGAGCGTCGCCATAATCCACAGATGCACGGTCACCCTATTACGCTCTGGGCCGCAACTTCAAACTCCTGCGGACTAGCAACATGAAGGCGCAAGTCAGAGATGAATCCAAGTTGTTGTGGTCCTACCGTCAGTCATGTCCGAAGTACCGGCCGCAATTACACCATTGTGAGAGGATGAAGGCAAAGCATGCTGTAGGAAACGGATAGCATATGATTGCCCTATGGCAATATATTTAGCAAATATACTTAGCAAATATACATAGATATATACATACATATATATATATACTGATTCACTCTTGTGACTGAGAACCTAGCGATGACGACGGGATCAACTTGATGGAGTTGTACATAACCTTTGTGAAGTTGCATGGCTGAAAGGCTCTCACCCATCAAATGCATCCAGCAGTTTGATTCAAAATCACAACTATCGCAGCATACCGCAAAGTTGATGGAATTGGGATGGATTGAGCTTTGACCACCGATTTCCTTCGATGCAAAACGAGACCCTGTCGCCAGATTGACTAGAGCCACTAGAGACTAGAGTTTGCTATGTTTGCCTGTGTCGTCCCTCTGGGACCATAACCTCTCCAGCGAAGTGCCTCACCTTGGTGAACCCCATCAGATTCGGGTATGTCGTTGGTTGACCACCCTTTCAGTCATTTTCGAGGTATGGGGCTGGCAGCCAAGGGACTCTTAATACTTCCAATCTCCCGAACCATTTATGAAGGCAAATCATCATAGCACTGAACGGGATGGTCCCCTTCTTTCGTTATTTGAACTTGGGTCCGCGCGCGCGCGTTTTACCTCTGGATTCGACTCCTCCGAGCGCGCGCGCGCGGACCCATAACATACACAACATGTGTTCAATCACTCCAATATTCACTTGCGTGTTTGGAGGTATTTGTCCTTGACATACTCCAATAGTATCGGTACATGAAATGTACATACATACATACATACATACGTACGTACATACATACAGACAGACATACAGACATACATACATACATGTTCTGTCTTCAGCAAAGGTTTTTGCCAACAAATCCAGATCTGCTGCAGGATCCCATTGTGGGAGGATGAAGGCAAAGCATGCTGTAGGAAACGGACAGCATATGATAGCCCTATGGCAATATATTTAGCAAATATTTAGCAAATATACATAGATATATACATAGATATATATATATACTGATTCACTCTTGTGACTGAGAACCTGGCGATGACGACGGGATCAACTTGATGGAGTTGTACCGCAACTTCAAACTCCTGCGGACTAGCAACATGAAGGCGCAAGTCAGAGATGAATCCAAGTTGTTGTGGTCCTACCGTCAGTCATGTCCGAAGTACCGGCCGCAATTACACCATTGTGAGAGGATGAAGGCAAAGCATGCTGTAGGAAACGGATAGCATATGATTGCCCTATGGCAATATATTTAGCAAATATACTTAGCAAATATACATAGATATATACATACATATATATATATACTGATTCACTCTTGTGACTGAGAACCTAGCGATGACGACGGGATCAACTTGATGGAGTTGTACATAACCTTTGTGAAGTTGCATGGCTGAAAGGCTCTCACCCATCAAATGCATCCAGCAGTTTGATTCAAAATCACAACTATCGCAGCATACCGCAAAGTTGATGGAATTGGGATGGATTGAGCTTTGACCACCGATTTCCTTCGATGCAAAACGAGACCCTGTCGCCAGATTGACTAGAGCCACTAGAGACTAGAGTTTGCTATGTTTGCCTGTGTCGTCCCTCTGGGACCATAACCTCTCCAGCGAAGTGCCTCACCTTAGTGAACCCCATCAGGTTCGGGTATGTCGTTGGTTGACCACCCTTTCAGTCATTTTCGAGGTATGGGGCTGGCAGCCAAGGGACTCTTAATACTTCCAATCTCCCGAACCATTTATGAAGGCAAATCATCATAGCACTGAACGGGATGGTCCCCTTCTTTCGTTATTTGAACTTGGGTCCGCGCGCGCGCGTTTTACCTCTGGATTCGACTCCTCCGAGCGCGCGCGCGCGCGGACCCATAACATACACAACATGTGTTCAATCGCTCCAATATTCACTTGCGTGTTTGGATGTATTTGTCCTTGACATACTCCAATAGTATCGGTACATGAAACGTACATACATACATACATACATACCTACATACATACAGACAGACAGACATACATACATACATGTTCTGTCTTCAGCAAAGGTTTTTGCCAACAAATCCAGATCTGCTGCAGGATCCCATTGTGGGAGGATGAAGGCAAAGCATGCTGTAGGAAACGGACAGCATATGATAGCCCTATGGCAATATATTTAGCAAATATACATAGATATATACATAGATATATATATATATACTGATTCACTCTTGTGACTGAGAACCTGGCGATGACGACGGGATCAACTTGATGGAGTTGTACATAACCTTTGTGATGGCGATGGCTGGCGGTCTCTCGCCACTTGTTGGTTTTCACCAAGAAACTGCAATCATGAATCATGGTTAAATATGGGGACATATGGGAAAATCTATTCCAAACATATGGGAAAAGACATGAAAATACCTGCTGTGAAGTTCTGCTGCATTGAACTTTGAACTATTCTCTGGAATGTCGTCATGATATGAGTTGCAAACCACCCAATAAGTGAACCGGGATGCACCACCAGTTTTTGGTCGCTGAACCTATTACATCCTGTTTCAAATCTGGTTCCATACCCAGTGGTAAGTTCCATAACAAAACCTGGTGAACAGAGGGCTGTAGTTTGGGACATGATGCATTGTTGCGATATGTACCATATTGTACCCCACTATGCTCCAATTTTTGTGGCGCCAATGGACCAGCAAGCCTTGCATGACAAGATCATCTCTCATTCATGTTCCAGTGGGGTGGGGTGGGTGGGGTGGGGTAATAACGTTCATGTTCTTGTGCACACACAGGCACAGCAACCTCATCATCTTTCTTGCTGTCCAGCAGACACAGGCACTCCTCTTTCATGATCAGTTACCGGTGGGTTGGGGTGGGGTGGGGTGGGGTAATAATGTTCATGTTCCTGGGCACAGCAACTTTATCATCTTTCTTGCTGTCCTGCAGACACAGGCACTGCTCATTCATGATCAGATACCGGTGAGGTGGGGTGGGGTGGGGCGGGGTAATAACGTTCATGTTCCTGTGCACACACAGGCACAGCAACCTCATCATCTTTCTTGCTGTCCTGCAGACACAGGCACTGCTCTTTCATGAACAGTTACCGGTGGGTTGGGATGGGGTGGGGTGGGGTAATAACGTTCATGTTCTTGTGCACACACAGGCACAGCAACCTTATCTTTCTTGCTGTCCAGCAGACACAGGCACTGCTCATTCATGATCAGTTACCGGTGGGGTGGGGTGGGGTGGGGTGAGGTGGGACAATAACGTTCATGTTCCTGTGCACACACAGGGACATTTACGCTGCGGGTATATAACCCTTCGCCGAACGTTAAGATAAAGGAGGATCAGCACGCTGCGCCTTTACGTGATGATGATGATGATGATGATGATGATGATGATGATGATGGTGGTGATGGTGATGATGGTGGTGATGATGGTGGTGATGATGGTGATGATGATGATGGTGATGGTGATGGTGATGATTATGATGATGATGATGATGATAGATGATAGATGATAGATGATAGATGATAGATGATAGATGATAGATGATAGATGATAGATGATAGATGGTAGATGACGATGACGATGACGATGGTGATGATGATGATGATGATGACGATGACGATGATGATGATGATGATGATGATGATGATGATATGGCCTTAGACGGGAATGAAGATCATGATGATCAGGCGCGTTCCAAAGCGACGCATGAGACCGCGTTCGAAAGCAATGCTTTTGAACGCGTTCCAAAGCAAGTACCAAACCATATTTGAGTGTGTCTCAAAACCTCTAAAGTATCCCCAATTCCAGTGGATTCTCCTCGTTTTTCCCATTCAATGGCCACAGACAGACCACTTTTCTGGCGCTGATTCTTCTTGATCGTCGGTCCTTACCAACAAGTTATCACTTTTAGACTTCACCCCAATTTTTAAAGTCATCCCATTCCCATCACTACAGGTGTTCGAACGGAGAAGAGCCGCGCGCCTTTTCGGGCTGCATCCTCACTCGATCTCCCACCTCACAGTCAGAAGACGGATGTCGAAAGCTGGATCTTCCAGGGATTTCGCCATGCAAAATCCCATGGTTTCAAAATATCCCAGAGAGGTTGGCTGTGCATAATCCCATGATTTCAAAGCAATTGTTGTTGCTTTCCAGGGATTTCTTTGGCCATGGCGGCCATCCAAACAGTTCAGAAGTTCCTTTCAATGCGATTGGCTGGTTGTAATTTGCTGAAATGTTTGGAAGTGCCAATGGCTGGTTGGTGGCTTCGACACCCCTGCAAAAATACCAATGTCATTTCTGATCAGCATCCACTTTGGACGGATGGAAAAATACAAGTTGTTGAAACCATCAGTCGTATTGTGTGTATATATAATATTATACATTAATATACATTATAATTATAATACATCTGTATATAAATATGTACATATATATATATACGTATATATATAATATATATAATATAATATATATATATATATATCATTATGTATATCATATACAAATCTCCCCTAGTAGTCCCATGATCATCACTGAAAACTTCACTAAAGCAGCGCCACCTGAAAGCTGGCCATCTGCATGAAGTCTGCTTTGGATGCCACCGTGCTGCAAGGCGTCCTGGTTGGCAAACACCTCATGGCAGTAGCTATTGAACATTGCCCATTTAGAAATCGTTGATTTACCTATGAAAAATGGTGGTGTCGGTGTTCCATGATTATTTCA